GTTGGATAAAATTCCATTCCAATTTTTACCTCGTGTGTCTTCACCTCATTTCCAGAACCAAAACCATCGGTAGGAAGCTGAACCTCATACCTCCTTTCTTGATTCCCTATGAGTCTGACAGTGTGCTTCTTTGCTTTCTCTATCTTCTTTGCCATGTATTCCATGACACGGCTACAATAAGGTGTGTTCTGATTATCTTCAATATGCTTCTTTGCTAACTCGTGCCTTTCTCTGAAATATCTCAAAGTGCCATGGAATACAGCCTCCATAATAGCTGTGAGTGGCAATGCTCTATTCCCTCTCAGCACAAAGTTATACACCTCTGCAAGATTGGTTGTCATGTGGCCATACCTAGCTCCATGTGTGTCATGCAGCAAAGACCAATTCATTGGAGGCTCTTTCTTTATCCACTCAGAAAAATTCTTTATTGCCCTTCCCTTCTTTCTCTTAGTATTAGGAGGGTCAATTGCTGGCAAGTCACAAAGACCAACTGGCTCCTCTAGATCCGCGATGAGTGCTGCTAATTTAACCTGATCTTCTTCCATTTTCTTCCTCGCACGGACCTGCTTCTTAGTAAACTCATCTAGTTTTGACCAAATAAATTCGTATTTCCACTGCTGGCTCTGCTTGCATAATTTTTTGAACAAGTTCATCAACCGCTTGTTCTTGAACTGTGAGAAAAAATTAGCCCCAAGATGGCGCATGCACCACCGGCTCTGCAAGTCCTTCCAAGGTGTTGGTTCGTCATCTGCTGGATTACGAAGTGTCTTCATGGCCTTCAATATACCAGCATGTCTGTCATGAATGACACACACGTTTGGTCGGTCCTTCACGATGGCAATTTTCACTTGGCGGAAGAACCATACCCAGCTGAGAAAGTTCTCACCCTCCACAAATGCCATGGCAAGTGGGATGATTTGATTGTTCCCGTCCACACCAATAGCAGTCAGGATTTGCCCTCTATACTGACCGGTCAGGAATGTACCATCCACAAACATAACAGGAGGACAATGCCGGAAAGCTTCGATGCACATAGCAAAAGAGAAGAACACTCGTTTCAACACCTTGAAATCTGGTATACTCAGCAACCTCATGTGTTGTACGTTCACATAAGTGCCGGGATTCCTCTCCTTCAGTATGCCCAGGAGACGGACAACATTATCATATGAGTCGAAGAACGTCCCAAACCTTTCCTCCATAGCCTTTTGCTTAGCCCTCCAAGCCTTCCCATAAGGAATGACATAATTCCATCTGACCTTCACTGCTGTCTGGATGTGTTTTGCTTCCATATCTTTCTTCTCTACTATCTCAGTATACATGAGTTGCGCAATGAGACTTGAAGTCAGGTTCGGATGCTTGACCAACAGGTTCGTCCTCACACAATTATGTGGGATGACAATGGTGACAACCCAGTGGATGTCATACTTCGGCACGTGCCCGTGCACCTTCCCAGGACAACCTGTTACAACACATTTCACGGTATAGTTTGTTGGACTTGATATGTGTGTCTTGAAAACCCTCTGCGTAGACATAGCCCACTTTATCACCGCATACTTCAATTTTTTCTTTGTATCAAACATAGCCCCTATTTGTACTTGGTTCAGATTATACTGCCATGGAGTCTCATGGCCATCGTTCACCGTAAGGCCGGTGGATATGTCCTACTCCCATGCAGAAGGAATCGGTACCTCAACTTCATCCTCAGAATTTTTAGAATCCAGTTCCTCCACCAATCCATCCTCGTCCTCTTCCTCCATCACCCTCTGCATTTCATCCCCTTCCTCATCCCCATCAGCAAACCAGAACCAGCTAATATTATCGACTGGCTACTCTGCCCAGTATCAGGACCACAAACATTGTGTGGCACGTAGTCTGACTCTTTCTCGGGTTGGCTAGCATCCATATCTTGTGGCTGTGACCTGGATAAAACAATCTCGTTAGCCACTTCACTGCCTTGGCCAGGTTCATACCCCCTGTGGAGTTGTACGGTATTCTCCTCCTTCGGCACAGGTTGCACAAGTGCGTATGGGTGGATTCTTCGGTCTCGGCAGCGTCTTAACAGGGACAACCAATGCCGGCTCCTATCTACCGGCATCAACTCCCACTTGACATTTTTACAGGATTTGGTCCACAATGCATGAATACTGACGGAACATACTTCAGGATCCAGACCGAAACTAGTTGTCAAGTAGTACTTCAACTGTCTAATGTCCAGTCTGTCCGGGTCAGCTAGTGTCATGACGCCATTTTTAAACTCGCTAAGATCAACCCCCAACTCATTATATCGAACATTACCAGCACCGTAGTAAACTGTCAGATTTACTGATTCAGACATTTTCACCTATCAGACATTGTCATCCTCTCATTAATCACAACAAAGACTAATATTACCCGTTACACTAACTATGCACTAAAATGCCTCTACAAATATATTAACACTGCACTTCACAATATGACTTATCTAAACTAATTAAAATATACAATTCAGAGAAAATTTGTGATGGCATGGTTATACCTTCGAAGCGTGTGTCCCTAGCTTCTTGCTCCTCTCTTTCACTCAGGGGCACCGGCCACCTCGCGGAGTACTTGCACCACAGGAGAACGGCAGCACCGCCCCCTCGACGACCGGAGGCTCAACTCAGGTCACCCCCCAAGCCGCACCTCCTCGTCCACAGCAGCTGCTCCTCCTCACCACCACCTCCTTCCTAACCACGCCTTCTCCACCCCAACATGGCTCCTCCCTCCAAACGCAGAAAAAACTATCCCATACCCAAAAAAACACCATAGGCTGTTGGAGAATGGTATGATCTATCTATTCTGTGTCTTGGATGTGAAAATGGGTGCAAAGTGGTGGAGATCGGCGCGGGCTTGTGAGGTTACAGAGAAGAACGAGAGAGAGAGAGAGAGAGAGGAGGAAACAGAGTGCGAGCAGCCAGAGGAAGGAGACGGCCTGGCGAGCCTTATCCCGAACTCTTCGGTCAACTCCTGGCCGAAGAGTTTTTCGGCCGCCAGCTGGCCGAAAAGAACCCACTTCGGCCGCGCGCGGGCCGAAGCTACGATTTTCGGCCGGCCCGCCACCGACACGACCTCTTCGGCCCAGCCGAGCCTTACTTCGGTCAAAGCCTGGACGAAAAGTCCTTTTCGGCCAAACCCGGGCCGAAAACAACCTCTTCGGCCAGCGCGAGGCCGATGGGGTCATAGTTTTGATTTTTTTCGCGTTTAGTGCTATAGTTTCCGAATTTGCTGCACATAAAGTTATAGTTTTGAAAAAAATCATAAATCAATAAGCGTAAAAGGATGTGGCCAGATAGATTCATCTAATCTTTATGTTTTGTCAAGATATGGCAAGACCGATTCATCAGCAAATAAATTCCATAGAAAAGGGCACTCGAGCCAACAAAAGCCAGCACGGCAGTGATTGCTAATTAAGCTGTGGCAAACGTACCCATGATGCGGCTGGCCCCGGCGACCATGGGACGGGTGTGGGTTGGGGGTGGAGGTGGGGATCAGCAGCAACAATTCTCCCGTGATCTCGGCATCGGATCGCATGCCGCCGCAGCCAATCTATTTATGCATGGCAGCGTCAACGGTGAGCGAGGAGGGCGGATGGATCCCGCGTTGGTGTCGATGCATCGGCTCCCTGCTGGTTGACTAGGAGGCCGGGAGCCTTAGTGGCCACCCGAGGCGCGTGGCGGCGGCGGGAGAGCGTGGAGGGGCGCGCGTGCCCTGCCCAGGAAGGCGTGGCGAGGAAGGCCGGCAGTTTTTTTTCCTTTTTGCGTGAGTTGCCAGCGTGATTGTAGGCGTAGGAGCTGAGGACGTGCCGGCGATTACGCTTTGAGAGAAAAAATGTACTTGGCGGTCCATTTTTTGGCAGAGTGCGTTCGTCCGACTATTATTGCTACGCTAACCACTAGGCTGGATTAGATTAATCTGGGTTGTTAGATCTAGTTAGATGGGATAATCTGATGGTACTAATCAACCTAGGTACACTTAGTGGGTGGAGTTAAGAAAGAAAATGTTCGCTTATTTAATATAGTACTAGTAAGTATCTTTACTCCTAATCTCTACTCCTAATAAACGAGTTGGTTGAATAGTCCCACCACTTTCGTCTGGTCTTTTTCGTCTGGCTTTTTTTCATCTGGTTTTTCTTCGTCCCACCACCCTCCCTCCCACCGGTTTTCCTCTTTTCTCGTCTGGCCGGCAATACCCAACGTATCTCTACTCCTAATAAACGAGTTGGTTGAATAGTCCCACCACTTTCGTCTGGTTTTTTTTTCGTCTGGCTTTTTTTCGTCCCACCGGTTTTCCTCTTTTCTCGTCTGGCCGGCAATACCCAACGTATTTATGGTAATCAATCACAATTAATCTACGTATGGTAAGGCTATAAACTCAGAAATCTCAAATATGATAATTATAGTAATAAATCAATCCAGATGTGGTACGGCCATAACTCCGAAAATTTCGAATATGGTAATTATTCTCTTCACTTCGTACGCCCCACCCCATCCGATCGGAGGTCTCCCCCAATGCACGCCCCACCCATTTTCCCCACCTCCTGATCATTTGGCAAGTGATAATTCAATCACGTAATTCCCCCACACAAAAAAGAAAGATTCAATCACGTAATTTATACTCCTTATTACCCACATTACCATTCAATCACCTAAAAGATGAGAAGCGCTCAGCGTCCTGGTCTAATTTTACCCCGCTCCTTGCGATGTGAGAATGCCCTAGCTGCTAGCGCTACCCTCGCCCGCCGCCGCCTGAGACATCGCCCACCTCCTCCCTCCACCCCTACCGCCGAGTAATCCAATGCCAAGGAGGACGACCGTCATACGATCCAGCTACGGCCGCCGATCGGCCTTGTCCCAGCCGCCGCCAAAAGAGGCTCTTCTACATAGCCGAGGTGAAGATGACAACGGCACGGTCACCCTGCCGGCGCGCCCCATGTCGAGGAGTGGCGCGTCAGGTCGTACCCGCGCTAGGTTGACGCCAACACCATGCGCTTCGTCCGCAACATCACGGTGCGGTCCACGACGACGCTCCCCGGTGGTGATGAGGAGTGCGCGGTGTTGCATGAGGTGTCGGCGCTGCTCTTCTCGGTACGGCGGGCAGGTGCAGTTCCTCGTCTCCGACCTGTAGATGTGGTTGGATCGGCAAGTTCCTCCTAGTCTTCAAGAGCCTCTCGAACTACGACCTCGTGGACCTCACCGCCGACAACCGCACCCACTGCTTCCGGCACCTCCAGGTGGGCCTCACCTGCCACGCCGAGTTCAGCATCGACCCGCTCCGCGTGGCGCCGTTCGCAAAGCTGGCCAACACGTGCAACGCGATGCTGGGCGTGCGTGGCGCCGGGCTGACCAACATGGTGTTCCCGCCCACGTGAGGATCCAATGCCCCTCCCCACTACCCCACGTGATCCGACGCAACGAGGACGACATCCTAAGATCCAGTCGTGGTTGTGTGGTATCTCGGACGAATCCATCCGGCCTCATCCTAGCCGCCGCCGGTAGAGGCTATTTTTTCATAGGCGTAAGCATCCATGTCCGATAGTGCAAATTCTGGCTGGTTCCATGGGCACTTCGTTCCCCGCCGTGCAATCTTCGTTGATTTGGAAAGATGGGGCTGTCTGTTTAGCTAATTCAATCTGGTAATTTTCTGTTCAATCTGCCGTTGATCATGTTAAATTCTTGTTATATTCAGTTATATTGGAAACAACGTGAACATGCTGCTCCTTTTTCCAATCACAATACTTACGTGTGGAGAGCTCTGGCGTCGGCAGCTGTGTGGAAACACAAGCTGATTTGCGACTGATCAGAGGGCGAGCTTCACATACCTGTGTAGCTCATATGTGTATGTGATTAACGGATTAGCAGTTTAACACACACGGGCATTTTTTGCTTCTCTGGTTGAGTACTAGCATAGTGATGGTGCCCATCTATCTTGGCTAGAGATAGCTAGATAATTTTATTCAAACTTATAAGTGTATACTACTACTGAATTTCTCGCACATAGGATTCACCTTTTGTCTCATCAAATTACCTTTATGTTACATAAAGTGGAAAGCATCTAATGTACGGGCAATTAAGAATCCCGTCAGTTTTGAAACCTTTCATGGTGTACTAGCATAATTCTCTTCAGCATGCATGAGCTAGAGCATAATAACTTGTCAAATATTTAGGGAAGCCAGTCGGGCACTCAATTCATTGATTTTTTTGCAGGGACTTAATTCATTGATGCGATCCGTATCTTGTAGGAGTACTTGTTTACACCAAGATTTTTCATCTCAGCAAAGTTTGCTTCTTGCACTACCGAAGAAAGATGATGCATGGTGTAGCAATTGGATGATGTGCTCATGATTGTTCTTGCTTGGACAGGACAAGGAATTCAGGTTTAATTCCACTCATATATAGATACCCATCTTATTTTTTTAAGCTATCCTTCAATACTAAGCCCGGTCATCCTATTTTCTACAATATTATGCTATTCTTTTTCTTCCTTCCGTTTGCTTAACATTATATTCTTTGTATATATGCATGTCAAGTTTAATGTGTTTTAAAAATGACTAAGAGTAGGAATATTATTTTATGTACCTTTAGTAAGAGTAGCAGTTACTGAACAAAAAGAATGGCCAGCCAACATCTTTTCTGCTAGAACTTTCGGTTGTCAGCAAGGATGACAGATAAGGTACTTGTTAGTTTGGTAAATGAGTTTATTCACATAACTATTCCTATAAATGTCCACTGTACTATCAGAGGAATAGTTACCCACTTAGTATTGGTCACAATGTTTTACGGTCCTCAATCTCTTGAAACACTAAAGGATAGTTATGTAATGGAAATGTTGTTCTCTAGCATACACGTTAGTTCTGTAAGGTGTTCATCCCGTGTTTAACTTCTGAGTAGTTATTGCAAAGTTTTCAAATTTTGTAGCATGCCTTGGGATTTGATTACCCTTTGGAATTGTTCTTTGTAGAAAAAAAATGCATATATGATCATGCTTGGGAAGAACTCAGTAGCTTATAATAGGCGTCTTCATCTCATATCTCACCCACATGGCTTGCCGGTTGTTAGTTTAGTAGCATCCTCCTTGGCAAAGAAGAAACATATTTTTGTGATTAATTGCTTTGATGCTAAATTTCTCTGCCTTATTTGTTCTTGACCTACATGTTCCATGTGTTTCCACGAAATTGTGATGGTCGAGATGCTCTTGCAAGTTTAGTTAATGCAAATGTTGTGTAGTGATCAATAAATCATGTTAGAAGTTGTAGGGTGCTCAAAGTAATGAGCTTGCAGTTGCTTCAAGGCTGGAATCCACATTCAACTTCTACCGTACTACCAGTCCTGATGTAACTAAGCTTTTCCTCATTGACCCTGAAGCCAAGCGCACCTCTGTAGTCTTGCTGAAGAAAGAGGAGGAGAAGTTGGACTTATAAGGTATTTTCATCACTAACTCGCTTCACCTTCCAGCAACTGCATTTTCCTTCCATGTATGTTAGATGATTTGGCCTATGAATTCGATATAAATGTATGATGCATTGTGCTGATAGCGAGTTCAGAGCAAAAAAAGAGGGGCGGCAACTGCAACAGTGATTTGGCCTACCAGTTGCACATCGGTCACAATTTTTTAAAAGGAATGCAGAATCTTTATCTAGATATACATTGGCTTTCAGTTATAGGAAAAAGGAGGGGCGGTGACTGCAACAACAATAGGACGACAGCCAGTATGACTAAGCCAACAAGCCACTGTTCTTGACTGGCACTGTAACAATGAAATTTCATTATGTCCGGAGTGCATAATTAATTGTCTTATTTTCTTTTTTGTGCCTTCTTATTTATGTATGGGTATGGGTTAGTGTTTTATGTGACTGGTTACAATGAAAATCTGTATGTGACTGTTGAGGAGCATGCAAATTGGGAGAACTTGCTTTCTGTGAGCAACCATTTGAATGCTAAAAGGTCATACATGGGTGTGAATGGATCGGATACATCACATACATCAGGTAAACAACATGTACCTCTTTGATTTCACATGTGCGCACCTGCTAGACATTGTTGTCCCATCTTAAAATATATGTTTCTTCATAACCTTGTTTTAGGTTGTGTGTTTTAGGTAATTCTTATTTGGGTAACATGTAGGGGCAGCTGCCAATATCATGTATTTTAATTTTGAGTCCTCCTAAAGGGGTTGTTTGAAGAATTTTGTTCTTACAATAAATTTGGCATAATAGTTGGATTCTTCTGATTTGACCAAAAAAACTAGTCTTGCAAAATTAACTGAATTTGCCATTTATGTATTTTTCCTATAAGCTAATAAGTTTGTTTATGTAAAGAAACTGCATTGGAGTAGATTGTGAGTATTTCTTCACCCCCTGGGCCGCTAGGGCAACAACTTGTGCGAATGACACCGGTCCTCGCGACGGTGCCATTAACCCTCTGAACGCTCTATTGCAGCTGCCTCTATAGCTTGATGTCACGGATTGGAGGACGCCAAGGTATTGTATATTTTGCTTGATGAATGATCTAGATTGATTGTTTTTATTGCTATAGGAACACGGAATTGATACATGTAGTAATATGACAAAGATGTATCATCACAATATTGATCCGGATACCGCTTCTGCATCAAACTGCTTTTCACATATATTCTACGAGCTATGTTCCATCTCGTAGGACTAATTTATTTTGTGCCAAATCATGCAGTGAAATGCATTAGAACCATATACTCTCTTTTAGGGCATTCCCCTGCAGATAATCTCTCTATGCAGTTAGGCAACTGATATTGCCATTATTCTGGTATATCTGCAGTATTGGCATGGAAGAACATGTTCATTGGTTTGAATTGATTACCCTCATGGCCAGTATTATATATTCTAAGCATTCAGTTGCCTGCAAAATAATTATGTAACAGATATTTATTCCAGGTTGTCGTATAATTTACACCTAAATTGGCAACAGAAAATAGTTTCTTCACTTATTTCAAGTATTAAATTCATTTAGAATTTTCTTAGTTTCGGCTTTAGTTTTCATGCCATATTATTTACCGAACCGGTTATGAATTATTAGCATGACAACATGATCTCTATTTAAACTAGACCAAGAATTTTTCGTAACTCGATTTGTTGTTGTTTTCTCTTTGGAGGACTTTGTATCTACTTGTGCCCCTTTTGTTCTATGATGACAACCCATCTATCATGTGCTGCTGATTCCTGCCTTGTTTACTTACAAGTACTCGATTTTGTGTCATGTATGGTATGAGGACAACTATGCAAAATTGCTAACAGGATTGATGAGGCATGTTATCTTTTGTATTTTTCTTACAAACATACCTACTGAAGCATCTTAATCCCTCCTCGTTTTAGTTTTTAGTTGTTATCATTCAGTGTCTATAGTTTTGCATAACTAATAGACTTGCAAATCGACCTATTATGTACGTGATGTTGGCAGTAGAGCAATAAGTTTGCTTCTGTGCAAGTAAAACATTATAGTTCCCGTTTTGTTTTCGCCTTACATTCATGTGCCATGGCTGGCATTGGTTTCAAACATGTAGATTTTCAAATTACTTCCTCTTCATATATGATGTCCATACCAGATAACCCTAGGCACCTCGGCCGTGGCCCTGAGCGCGGCCATTGCATACAGGCTTTCGGTAGTATCATTGTACAACATATATGTAGCTATAGTATGAGGCAAGCCTGGGCCCTGGCCCAATGCTGCCTCCACCCCTGGTTCCATTGTCAATTATGGGGACATGGTGATAACCTGTTGCACTGGTGTTTGTCTCTCTGAGAGATGCAACAACAACAACAACAACAACAAAGCCTTTAATCTTTTGGGTTTCATCTCCATATAAGAGTGGCTGATTTTTTACTTTGACTCATCAAACCTATCACAACCCTCCTCCTTTACCCGGGCTTTGGACCGGCTATATTGAGACAACATAGGCGGGGCTTTAGTCTCTCCGACATGAAGCTATTTAATATATTAATGTGTCACGAGGACAAGTCCAGGCTCCTCATGTCATGTACTATAAGTTTAACTCCAAAGAAAATTTAATTTATACGACAAGACTATACTTATTGTGATTTTTACATATCGTCATGGTTCTTCCTTGGATTGTGGGGTTTGTGTTAGTGGCTGCAAGCCGAGGTTGTCTTTGTTGCCATTGACAAGGATTTTTTATCGAGCGAGGCACTATATTTTGTTCCTTATTTCAGTGGGAAGCTAACCGTAGTTCTTCTATTATGATTAACCGTGTTACGGTAAATATTAAAAATTTCATCAACAAAGTTTTTAACTGTTTTGGGTGCATATAAAAGAAACAAGCATGTATTGCTGTTGAACCACGACAAAGTTTGATGAGTAAGGCCGTAAGAGAAATACGGAG